TGCCCTTGCCTGAGCCTTGCCTACCCAACTAAGCTTGGCGTGATGAGCAGCATGAGAGCCGTGATGGAAAGGCTGGGCTCAACCGGACTTTGCTGGGCAACCTACACAAGGATGTGTTAGAATTACAAGGCGCCTTAGCATTTGTCCATCCTAGCTCCAACATCAACTTAAAGCTTCAAGTATGAGTTCAGCTCAGCGCAGCACAAGTCGGGGTGCCTCAAACAAAAATCGTGGACCGTGATGTCACTCATCATTCATGCGCGGATACTTCAACCAGATACCTGCTCGGCCACAAATACTAAAGCCTCCAAGTCTAGACCTCTGCTGGAGTGCATCGTGTCACAGCCACAGCATCTCGAATGCAATAACCATCAGCAACCAGCACCTTCCTTGTACCCTCAAATAGGTCCCAAAGAATGGGTATCCATAGGGTCTCAGAAAGGGTAGATCCCAGAATGCCCAATACCCCTTAAAGCACATTCCGAATAATTTAGAGCCCCTATAAATTGAGGGATTGAAAACCAAAAAATAAGATCCTACACTTTATAAAGCCCAAAATTATAATAATCCTTTCTCCTTCGACTCTAACGTCCTCACCAGCTTCGCCCGCACATCTGGAGCTCCTGCACCAGAAATCTGGCACCAGGCGAAAACAGTTGGAGACACATCTGAGATGTCTGGGGAGCTAGGCAGTTATAGGGTCTAGAGGGCTGAAGGTTTACATAGGGAGTTAGGGGTCAAGGATGGTTTAAGGTTTAGAGCACACAATAAGAAAACAACAGCATGTTCCTTGGTTAGCAAAACGCACCGAAAACCCTCCTCTGCGCCGCAGCGTCCGCAAGGCTCGCGCCGGCAGTTGGCCGACTAGCAGCGGAAGGAGCTCGGAGACCTGAGTTTCTTTGCCCCCCTTTGAATCCAGTAAGATTCGTATACAGTAAGATTTATACTGAAACGATTTCATACTGATATACATATACGGTCTCATATACGAGAATCACAGGTGCTTTAGAATTGCAAACCTTTTGTTAAGGGACAGCATCGGTGAAGCCTTCATAGGCTGTGGGACTCGTGGTTCGTTCGCCAAGGCTTCAAATTGATAAAACTGGTGGAATGTTAACTTCTGCATTTTCATATATTATTCTTGAGTTTTTCCGGATTTATGCAGGCTTTTTTGGCTTTCAAGCTCGGCACCTGTTTAGCGATACCTGCTTTGCGCGTGCTGAGGTCATGGATGGGTGAACTGCCTCACCCTAAGGGTCCATGTAGCCGAATAGACATACTTTGGCCTTAAAGTAATCCCTATTTGGGTATTTTGGGGCCAAAGTATATACTTATATACTATTTGGGTACATGGACCCTTAGGGTTAGGGTTTATGACGGAGGGTCTAATGGATCTCAGGGAACTTCATGAGGACTTCGGGTTCAGGGGTGTATTTCGTGGGCTTCGAAGCCAGGTCTGGGATTTCACCGGTGGGGTTATGGGCCCTGAGTCTGGGATTCTGAGGACTTGTTTGAGTTTGGCGTCTACATGGGCAATTCTCTAAACTAGGGTCCCTTTTCAGGTCCTTTTCGGCGCCGTGCGATTTTGGGGACCAAAGAAAAGGCCCTAATCTAAAGAAACTACCGACCTAGCTTCAGAGGCCGGTGGTTTGGAAGGGAGGCGCCCACACCTTAAATGATCCAGAAGCTTTCCAAGCCTTTTTGTCCAACCCCTCAAAAGGCCCCCTATAACATGGGTTTAGGGATGTTTACATAGGGTTCAGGCTTTAGAGTTTACTAAACCCAAAGCCTCTACCCCGGAGCCCGAAATCCGAAGCCCTAAACCCTTTCCTGAGGGTCCCACTCTGCCAGATCTGTCACAGGAGCCCGCAGCGGCGTTAAACGTGGTCAGGTCCTCGAGTAACCAAGGACCAAATGGGACACCATATCTCGGGGGTCCTTATATAAGGATCCTACTATCTAGGGTACTATAATAGGGTCCCCTATTTTCGGAAACCCCCAAATAGACATGGGAGGTTCGTGGGTAGGGTGTAGGGTTTGGGGCTTATCGGGTCTACTTGGAGGTTCATGCACGGGTAGCTATAGGTGGGGTTAAAAGTAAGCGTAACTATAGTATATGATGAGTTATGGTACATATAGAGGACATATAGCTGGACTTATAACTACAGTACCCGTGAACCTCCAAGTAGGGCTTATACTTACTTGTGCTTACTGGGGACTGGGAGTCCCGAACAATCTCTTCTGTATAAGCACCAGCAGGTTTCGGGCTTTAAGGTTTTAAGGTTCTGGGCATAGACTACATGCTGTAAGCGAGGAACTGAAATCCCCAACATGAGGGGATTCCTCTGTCACCACGGTCCACCGTCTTTTGGTGGCTATTCCTAATTAAACCCGAACCCCCCAACCTATTCAGCCCAGCATGAAGAACCCCAAGAAGAACCAGTCATTTGCTAACGGATGCCTACATTAGACGAACCTATAGATCAATGCAGGTATGTTGCAATGCGGCTGTGGGCTTTCCCGAGAAAGCTTCGATGCTTCGGGGCACGAAAATGGAGCTGGCTCAAGTTGCGGAAGAGAGGCAGGGTCCACGTCCGTCTCAAACATTTGGCGCACGAGTGACCTCAACCCGATTGTCAGCTAGTCCAAAGCAATCTCAAAAGCATCTACAACCCTCACTACCATCATGTCTGCTTGCAGCTGCCGCACAAGGCGATATGCCAGCAGCTACCCCGCTCGAGAGAAGCAATGGCGCTGTTGTAGCTGATGGCATTTGGCATGCACCTGCCCGCCGAATTCGAATGATGCCCGCTAGTTTCCGCCCTGTCGTTTGTACGTAGGAACAGCTCTTGTTTTTGTCAACCCTCGTCTAGGCACTGTACGCACGAAGGAGTGTTCTTGCAAGGTCAGCTTTGGCGCTCGGAGACAGCAATGATTTCTAGGAAATGAGGGTCTGGGAGGGGTTGCAAAGTAAGGATCCCACGACTCATGGACAAACATGGCTGTGACTCATGACCTGCTAGGAGGACTAGGACTGTGCCCGCTTTGCAAGGTCGGATTTTGGGCTTTAGTGTTCAGGGCCTGAATTTCTGCTGCAAGGGCTAAGATGGGCTAAGGCCCTTTCTTTCCATTCAATATTGAGTCAAGGCAGACGGTCTCGATGCTCTGGTTACAAGACCCATGCCACTAAGGTACATGCTCGGAGATGCACCTAATCGGACGTTGAGCCTCCTAACCTGGCAATCGCGCGTAGCGACACGACTGCACGCACCTCAAAGCCGGCATGGAGAGGAGTAGCAGGACAGCTGCTTCCCAACAGCTTTGCTTCTCCTGAGGCTTGGCAATGCTTGGCAACTCGACTTCCATAACTTCCATAAATAGTATGTGAGAATTCAGGCTACCCAGTGTAGCTCAACAGAGTTGTGGGCTTCAGCGACACGCATCTGCGTCGCATATCTGCGGCTCAGTTGCGCAAGCACTCACTGCGCTGCTGGCACCCACGACATTCGCATGGCACTGCTGGGTAGGCATCCTCAGTTTTTTGAATCCAGAACCTAGGCCTCAAGTGATACAGGTTTCAGACCTCTTATAAGCCCTGAAGCTTTGAACCGTCACAGCGGTGCAGGAAGGCTGATCTAGAAACTGAAGTTTAGAAAGGACCGGAGGCAAGCACACGAATCTCGCGGGAGGAATTAGGAAGCTGGAAGGCACGCTAGACTCGCCAGCTGCACGTAAAAGATCTGCTGCTGCACGACAGCGAAAGAAGATGACTACAACCCCTTTGCACAGCCAGAACGATCCGAAACCCCAAATCTGAACAGCATCAAAGCATCGCGAAGCTCTTTATCACCAAGGCGGTAGACCACTACGCTCAAGGCCGTCTCTACGACTCTACTAGGGTATTCGAGGGCTACTCTCGTCTTTTGGGACTAGTTCCGGATCAGCCGGAGTCTTTTCGGTCAGATGCAAAAGGAAAACACTCGACAAGACGTTTGCAGGGTCCGCGCTTCATCGCTGAAAGCATTATCGCGACATTAACTTGACCAGCCGGGGAAGTCTGGTGAAGGCTTCATAGTCGGACCACATGGCCCTTGCTGCAAACCATGGCTGAATACAATCCGTGCGTCCAGCAGAGCAAGTGCAGCGCAAACTCCCATTCGCCAGCCTCCTCTCATGCTCTTCGACTGGGGTGTGTGTGCAGACAAAAGCTGTTAATTGGGGAAGGATTCAGATTCTGGCAGACCTCTTGCAGCTACACGCGTGCTGACCATGTCACCAGGTAAAAGTTCCTGCGTTGGACATGTTGCAGCTTGTTCAAAGCCTGTTCCATACCAAAACTCTACTTCTTTTCTTCAATCGTGCTATCCAGCTAGCTGTCGATGCTTCCCGCAACCGCAAGCTCAAACTCCATCACAACCTTGAGCCCCGAACCGGAAAACCCTCAAAACGGCCGCCCGGGCGCTCCCCAAATCCTAAACCCCTAAACCCCTAAACTCCTAAACCCTATAAACCCTAAACCCTAAGACCCCTGAACCCTAGATCCCTGAACCCTATACCCCTAAACCCTAAACCACTAGGCCCTAAACCCTAGACCCCTAAACCACTCAACCCCCACACAGCTGACACAGTAACCCTGCAAGCTTCAGGGTTGGGAGTTTGAGGATGCAGAGTCTTCCAGAGTCAAGCTATGAATCACCCGAAACACCCGGTTTAGGGGTTTAGGGTTTAGCGTCCTACTTGAACCCTAAAGCCCTAAAACCCTATAAACCCTATAAACCCCTAAAGCCTACCACCCTAAATCCCTGTAAGCCATAAACCCTAAACCCTATAAGCCCTACACCCTAAAACCCTAAATCCTATAAACCCTAAACCCTAAACCCTATAAGCCGTATAAGCCCTGTAAGCCCTATAAGCCCTATAAACCCTAAAAGCCCTAAACCCCATAAGCCCTAAACCCCCTAAGCCCCATAAGCCCCATAAACCCTATAAGCCCTATAAACCCTAAACGCCCTAAGCCGCAAATCCTAAACCCCATAAGCCCTAAACCCTATAAACCCTAAACACTATAACCCTAAACCCTAAGCCCTATAAACCCCATAAGCCCCTGTAAACCCTATAGGCCCTTAAAGCCTTAAAACCTAAACCTTATAAACCCTACAAACCCTAAGCTCTAGCTTTTTTCGTCTGTGGAGCCTCGCAGGAGCTGATCAAGGACTGGAAGGTGATGGTGTCGGGAACCTTGTGGCCGGATCTCCGAGACCCTCTTAGGGTTTAGGGGTTTAGGGGTTCTTAGGGTTTTAGGGTTTAGGGTTTTAGGGTTTTAGGGGTTTAGGGTTTTAGGGTTTAGGGTTTAGGGGTTTAGGGTTTAGGGACACAGCTGAACACTTGTGTTGCCCTCATCCAGGTTCATATGCTTATGGGTCTACATTGCCCTCATCCAGGTTCATGTGCTTATTATGGGTCTACATTCCCAAAAATTCGGTCGTGCACCGGGAATGCTTGAAACGAAACGCTTAACAACAGCGGTTCAGTACTGAGTACCGAAGCCAAAGCTGCATCCTAGGTCCTATGCGGTCCTATGCTTGGGTCCGCGATCTCACAGCACCAAACCGACAAACTCAAGCGCGACGCTGAAAATCCAAACTACGCCCTACATGACGAGCACTGCAATGAAAATGACCATTCACTGCGAGCGATATGCACATGGCCGTCCAGGCTATGAATGCAGCGGCCAAGATGCCACATGCCTCGACTCCATGACCTGCGTGCTACTCAGGCTGTGCTAGCCTACCTTTGTCTTTCCGAACACATCCCACACAATACAGTAGTACAGGGCGTCTTGCTTAGGATTTACGGTCTAGATTGGCTACATAAACCAACTCTGCACAGCATGTGAGCCTGTCTAGTATAGCTAACATCCTAAACAACTGGTACATAGGGATATGCTTGTATACCGAATGTATATCCGCACTTCAATCCATCCAGGCAGCCAGCCATCCTAAACAACCAGCACATTGGAATATGCTTGTATACCGAATGTATAACCGCACTTCAAGCCATCCAGCCAGCCAGCCGGCCATCCATGCGTTCATGCATGCAAACAGACACACAAGCCAAAAAAACAAGCACAACAAGAAGCCAGCAACCAAGCAAGCAAGCACACAAACATACATGCATTCATGCATAAATGCATGTGTGCATGCATACAGACAAACACACACACACACACGCACGCACACAGAGACATAGATACATACATACATACGTACGTACATACATACATAATCTTACCTACCTGCCTGCCTGCCTATCTACCTGCCTGCCTACCTACCTACCTACCAACTTGTCCGACTACCCACCTACCTACCTGCCTACCGACCTACCTACCTACCTCCCTCCCTGCCTGCCTGCCTGCCTACCTACCTACACACACACACATGTCTTATTCATTTCAGTTCATCTCAGTCAGTCGCATCCATTCACTCATCAGTTCATTCATTCATTCATTCATTCATTCCGCTCATTGCAAACATTCATTCATTCACCCTTTCATTAGTTCATTGATTTCGCTCATTTGGTTTCATTTCATTTAATTTCATTACCATTCAGTTCTTTTCATCTTCATTTCTTTCAATCAATCATTCATGGATCCATTCCTTCATTTGATTCCTTCCTTCCTGCCGTCATTCATTCATGTCAACCATGTCAGTTCATTTCAATTCATTCATTCGTTCCATTCTGTTCGTTTCATTTCATTCCACCCCATTCCATTCCGTTTCATTCCGCTCCATCCATCCGTTCATTCAAGTCATGCATTCTTTCCTATTGTTCCATTCATGCTGCATCCATTGAACCCTTCATTCATTGATTCATCCCTTCATTCATTCTTTTCATTCATCTCACTTCATATCATTTCGTTCCATTCATTCATTCATTCGTTCATTCGTCCGTTCGTTCATTCATTCATCCAATCCCATCCCATCCCATCATTCCATTCCATTCATTCATTCACTCAATCATTCATCCATGCATTCATTCATTCGTTCAATTCAATTCATTCACTCATTCATTCTTTCATTGATTCATTCAGCTCATTCTTCTCATTTCATTTGATTTCATTAGCTTTCATTTCATTTCATATCATTCAGTCATTGATGCATTTCAGTCACTTCATTCGTTCATTCATTCATTCATGCATTCATCCATTCCATTCATTATTTCATTCATTCGTTCAGCCATGATCTTTATGTCTTCAGTCATTCATTTATTCATATCGTTCATTTTGTTCAATCATTTCATTCACTCATGAAGTTATTCGTTTGTTCATTCGTTGACTCATCCATTCATTCATTCCATTTATTCATGTATTCGTTTATTCATTTCATGATTCATTTCGTGCGTTTCAGTCATTTGATTCACTCATTCATTCATCCAGTCATTCATTCATTCATCTGATTCGGTTTCATTTCATTTCAACTCGTTCATTCATCCTAATTTCATACAGTCTTTCATGCATCCCAATCATCTCACTTGACTTCATTCATCTCATTTCATTTCGTTCCTTTCATTCATGCATTCATCCATTCCATTCATTCATCCATGCATTCATTTCATTGCATTACGTTTCATTCATTCATCTGATTTGGCTGTATTTCACTTCAATTCGTTCATTCATCTTAATTCCATACATTCTTTCATTCGTCTCAATCATCTCATTTGACTTCATTCATTTCATTCGTTTCATTTCATTTCTTTCCATTTCATTTCATTCCATTCCGCCATTCCATTCATTTCATTTCGTTTCATTCCATTTCCTTTCATTCCCTTTCATTTCATTTCATCTCTTTTCATTCCACTCATTCATTCATTCATTCATTCATTCATTCATTCATTTCATTCATTCGCTAACTCATTCCTTCCTTCATTCATTCAGTCATCCGTTCACTGCATCATTTCATCCATTCTTTCATCTATTTCAGTCCGTTCTATTCCTTCATGCATGTGCTCATTTCCTTCATTATTTCATGCATTCATTCACTCATTGATTTCATTCCAGCCGCTCTTTCATTCACTCACTCATTCATTCATTCATTCATTCATTCATTCATTCATTCATTCATGCAACCAACCAATTAATTATTCATTGATTCTTCTTTCTTTAATTCATTCTCTGTATGCGTGCATACAGCCGGCATGCTGCA